TGACAAAAACCTAACTACGCCACTGACACATCCTATAATACTTCTTTTGATAATTACCAAGAAATTTGCACTATGATTATACCTATTAGGTATTACCTAATGTAAATTATACTTCAGAATAATAATGCCTAAGTAATTTAATCATCGGTAGGTCGTATAGGTATGCTATCTATTTACAATATTTTGCATGTTTATGGTTTGTCAATTTTTATTTTAAGATCATTAGAGTATATATACTCATATAGGCTATATAATATATATATGTATAATATAAGTCACAAAATTTCTAATTTCTAAAAATCATAGGCGTGTGCATGGATGAGTATGCAGACGCTTAGGGGCACACGAACATTGTCTTAGTTCATGATTTCGACTGGTTAGATAGTGGTTATAAAATGGTGATAATACGATATCAATATGGAGTATGGACTTGTTTTTAAATTCATTGTGGACGGTTTTCAATAATTTGAGAAATAATGGTTTTATTTTCAGTTTAGGTATTTACTATTTATATTTTCCTATAAATAACGATAATTACGTCTTTAACTTTATAAAGTCCAAATACTGAAAAGTCTTATGTTTATTATAGTAATTACTAATTAGTAATTGAATAGTTGATACTAAAATTAATTTAATCTATTCTGTGCTAATATGATCGCCAGCATGACCACTGACCAGTGGACACTAATACAAATATATTTACCGTACGTTTGTAATCAAGTTGCAGTGATAACCCAAAAGTGTTAGGATGAATTAATATTAATATTCATAGAAAACAAATTTCTATTGAAATTGACAAAGAAAATGAGATTGAACAATTTTAATTCCTTATAGGTACCAGAAAATAGCAATTATGTATAATGTATATATTCATTTAAATGGACATGTGTGTAAAATAATGCTTCTCATCAAATTAAAAAAAAATGCTTTTAATAAAAAAAAGATGGAAAACCTAAATTTATTCTAATAAAAATTAGTTACTAGAAGTTCAAGATGAAATGTCATGCACATTAATTTTAGGCCCATTTATATTTTGTATCTGTGGCCGAGGGGCGTAATTTATCAGACGCATACTCTGCGAACAATGTCTGCGCACGCCTATCCTAAAAATTAACTCACTTCAAATGAAAATACATCATCCGAAAGTCTTCATTCCCACTCCATATAAAAAAATWAATATACAGTGTTATTTACATTTTTTTAATTACCAAAATAATATCGATAAAGCACTGGACTGGATTCCGGTCCATTTGATTGTGGGATTCATTTTCTAACTCATATTTTTATTTCAC